TTTTGAACGTTCGGAAGAGTCAACGATGGAGCAGCTAATTTCGTTCAGGTGACTTTAGCCTTAAAACTGTGATGGTAGGGGCCGACATGTTGGAATTGATATTATTGCTCTGAAGACTGTTGTTGAGTCTAACCCAAGGCAATACACTCGTGAAATGGCCCTGAAATTGATAGTCTTTCATGAAACAATACGTAAACATATAAATAATATGGGAAATTCCATAAAGAAGGTCTTTGAGCATCCATGTCCCATAGTTACATAAGTATAAGGAAAATGTATAACTAATGATCACATAGCAGTCTAAGCTGTCTCGACTTTACATGGAGAATAAAATTCCTACATTACTGGCTTCCCCACTTTGTCTATCGAAAGCTTGCCGGATCAAGTGATATGTCCACTTCTATCCCTATCTTGTTTGGTTACTTTTTTTCAAGTTCAGTAGTCAGTTCATAGCTTTTTTATTTAGTGATAATTTTTTCTTACACGTGTTTACTTTTTTTATAAGATGGCGTACGTGAGTTACTAGGTTATATAGTGTATTCTAAAGCTTTATAAATTTTGCATAGAATAATAATAATAATAAAATAGGTAGTCAAAGATGGTGAAAGCTATTTTGTTCTACCAAATGATAAAATTATAGTTACAGCTAGAACTAGTTAGTCGCTAGGCCTGTTGAAGAAGGATGATGATGGACGGAACGAAAATAAGAAATCTCGGTTTTGGCTATCCGCCGGTTTTCGACTTTGGGACGCTCTGGATATCTAAAAAGCGGCACACACACACACACAGGAGATAGAGCGACTGTGCTAGGTAACTCTTCATATCTAGCTTCTGATGACCTTTAGATAAGAAAATCCAGATGACTTTTGTATTGCTTTAATACGGGCGTCCGTGCCATTCTAGAGAGTGCTAGTGTGCTCTCCGATAAATATAAGAAGGTTTAGTGGTACATCATTCGTGAAAAAAAAAATCAAAATATCAACTGCTAAATTTGCAAGAAAATATCCCCCATGACTGTTACAAGATTCAGTTAAAAGTTTAAACTAAAATAAAATTCTTTAAAATGATGAATTGATTCACAGACCTAACACGTTTTTCGTTATTTACGTAAAGTATATTTTTAGAATTTCTACTGGTGACACATAATGGAGGCGAAGCACCATCGTTACTAACGTTAACGTCATATGACTGCAGCATGTGCAAAATAACGAAAAAAATCACAACCTCAATATTTACAACCATTTTCGTGAAGTCTTTGAATCTTGGTTTGTGAAACGTGCTTTAAAAAATGCCTTTCTTATACGTTTTGAGGTTTTGGAAACCCAGCAAGAAGGGATAAAACAGACCTTGTTCCTAATCTGTCATATCTTGTTTTTTAGGAAAGTGAAAAAAAACACTGTCAGAAAAGAAAGGTATAAAATATTTTGCCATGTATTTATATGCATGTAAACACAGAAGAAAATCTTGACTCGCTTTACACTTGTTTTGTTTAGTTTCTAATCACGAATAGTCTGAAAGTTTAAAATTAGAAATGTTTTGAAAAATGTTTATTTGGCAGATGAAAAAGGCACGCATTTTTTGTTTTGTTTTAATCACAACTTGTAAGTAAATTTTTCTAAGTTCATTTGACACTATTAAACTAATATTTGATTTTGACATATTTCAAAATCACGTGTGTCTGTGTAATAGCGTCATATCTCATAATAAACTGAGCACGAAGGCAGTTTTGCATTTGTAGATTAACAAGTTAGTTGTCAATTCTGGTGTATTTAAATAAATAGGTAAACAGACTAAGAAAACAAGGGTGTGATATGCAATAATAAAAATATCGGGAGGGGAACAAGTAATCACACAATCACAAATGGTATGTTTAAATCAGACAACAAAATTATATATATGTATAGCACAGAGGCTGTATTATACGTCTCAGGGTTATGTGCAGCGACCTATGGTTAGATGGAGAGATAGAGGTAGAGACACTGTGTTGATTGAAAATAACATATAAAAATAGGTTTTCGCTCTTGTTCTATTTAGTAAAGTATGCCAGTATAGAGGGGTGGATACTTTCCTGAACAAACTACTGATAAGTGAATTTTCAGAATGCAAATTGATAGCAGACAACTTAATCATAAAGGTATATCTGTCTTTCACACTTAAAATAGTGCTTAATCATAAAGGTATATCTGTCTTTCACACTTAAAATAGTGCTTAATCATAAAGGTATATATCTGTCTTTCACACTTAAAATAGTGCTTAATCATAAATATATATCTGTCTTTCACACTTAAAATAGTGCTTAATCATAAAGGTATATCTGTCATGTCTAACTGGGTTAGTAAGTGACTTGCTTAAAGACCCCCCCCCCCCAACACACACACCAGTGGCTCAGCGGTAAGTTTATGGTCTTATAACGCTAAAACTCGGGTTTCGATACACGTGGTGGGCACAGCAGAGATAACTTATTGTGTAGCTGTACGCTTAACAACAAACAAGACTTGCTTTAAAAAGCAAAGTTATGTTTTGAAGGAGATTTTGTGATATATATAGGAGTACAAGGAATACAGTCCGAGTACACCTCTCTGGATTCCAATCACGGTAAATGAAGTGGAAAAACAGACTCCATTAGTAGCTGCGAAGTTTACTATTTTTTAAAAAATGTGCGTTACTAGCAGTATTTAGTGGTTTGGCCATTTCACTAAGTTTTCTGTTTTCTCACTGGACGGAGAAAGGTAAAAGTAAGAGTACTACATCTTTCGTGTATTTTGGTCTTTTGTTACACGTAAACGATTTAATTGTAATTTGACAGTTGTATAGAACACCGAAGTAAAAGAAAAAGACAAAATAAAATAAAAATATTTAATAAGCATTTTGCTCTGAAGGTTTAATATCATTGTTTTGTGTGTGTGTGTGTGTGTTGTTTTTTTTTACATTTTAGAGCGTGGTATGTAGTAAATGCAGAGACTTTGACCAATTTTTACATTTACATAAAACTAAAATGCTACCTGGGTATTCTTTCATATCTGCTGAATAATTGTACAGGGTGGTCCAAAATTATAATTCCTATTTTAAAATTTAATAATTGAATAACTAAGGAAATACAACCATGCAGTTTTCAACATCTTGTAACCCAACTCAAATAGTTTTTATTGTCATGTTTTGTTAGTTGTTGTTTTTTTTACCCCAGTGAGTAGTGTTACCCAGTAAAATGACAATTATGCGAAAAAAGGGCTTAACGCGTCGTTTGGCTTGCACAGACCAAGTCAGTGACTGTGGCGGAGCGCAATTACAGATGCCAGTACAAGAAAGAAGTATGGAGGTATGTTAAGGATATCGTTATCGCACAATTATAGCAAACATCACGGAGCTAAAGATCGGGATAATGGGCACCATCGCCACTGTAATTGTGGACATGTTGCAGCGAACGTGGACTGAAGGATAATATCGAATAGCCATTAATGGTGCACACGTAGAAGTCTACTGTTTGAGTTGGGTTACAACATGTTGAAAACTGCGTGGTTGTATTTCTTAGTTAGTTAATTATTAAAGTTTAAAATAGAAAAGATAATTTTGGACCACCCTGTATTACCCGTAATGTGTAGATAGGTTAATTCTATTGTTCTAATTGAACTCTGTATATTTTGGCTGTATCGAAACACTACGACTATAGATCTAAAACAAAGAAGTCAAATTATTGTTTGAATTCAGGTTTCGTGTTGAAAATATGTTTAGTTGATATTAATTTCCAATCAGAACCTAGAGTGACACTAAAATTCAACCTAGTCTATATATATAATATAATTGTCTGTTTTATGTACCGTGGGGTGTGGATAGGTATTCACCAAAATTAGTATGAAGGTTCATTAGGTCCATGCGGGGGTAGATACAAATTTTTGAATTTGTGTTTTGCAGTTTTTATTGGCGTTTTTGCGTTTTTCCACTACTTCGCCCCCTGTAGATGGATCTTCACCAAATTTGGTATGGAAGTTCATTGGGTCCTTGGAGAGATACTTACGAATTTTCAGTTATGCGGTTTTTATGGGCGAGTCTGCGTTTTTTTACAATTACATATAAGGGAAGCAACTTTTCATGCCCTAAGATAACCTTTCATTAATCATGAATTTACATAACTTCCGTCCA